AAGCCACACAATGATTAATACATGTATTTTTAAAAATTCTGAACCGCACGTCAATGAAAATCCATGTTAACATGATTGAGTTCAGTGGAGTAACACTAGGAGAAAAATGGGTTCAGCCAAGATGAGAGGCTGAGTGCATTTAAAACTGAGGCTCGAAGAAGGATTTTTAGAATCACCCCAGTTTTATATACCCAAACAAGCCTACTCCTTTGGCTAGAATGAGGTGGTTTTCATCTCCTTTGGAATTCTGGGGTAAACTGTCCTTGTACAAAACTTGTTCAGGGTCAAGTTTTAGGCAATATTTTGTACTGCAATAACCACACCATGACAGACAACCTTTTCATCAGATAAGAAAAAAAAATCCTCTTCTTCAGGTCAGTACAAGGAAGGGCCATGACAGAGCTATAAATACAGAGCTCAGAGGTGCGAAATCTTGTCCATTAACTGCAGGCATTGGCCGTGTTTAAATTTTTTCCCCCAAACATTTCAGATATTTAGACGGAGAAGTAAATATATACATAGGGTAATCTTAGCAATGAAAACAGCGTTTCATTACTAAATGATTCACTCTGATAATTGCTGGGAAAATTTTTCAGGGAACTAGTTTAAAGGCATAGAACTGATTAGAGGGAATTGAACTGGGTAAATCAGTTACACGTGCAACCTTGGGTTTAGAGGCAGAAGCAGCTGAAAACGGAGGGAAAAGGCTCTCTGATCACATTTCCATTTGCCAGGTACAGGCAAAGAGACCCAGCAATGCTAAATAAAGATTCTTCAGATAACAATTTGAACATTTTAATCTGTGAAACAAAAAGGAAAACCCTGGTCACCAAGCAACTAAAGTTAGACATTTAAATTATGCAACTGATTTCCAGAGGTGTGCAAATACACTACAGTGCCCAATAAAGTCAGAGAGAGATGAAGAGTGCTCAGAGCACAGGAGGGGAAAAAAAAAAGAAAAAAAAAAAATCCCACATGATGGTCTCAGGTGTGTAAGGCTAAGTTTAATCACTTAAGTAGGGATATTTTTAAATCCTGTCTCCAAAGGTGCCATGGACAAGCTTTGCTGTAAGGGGGGTGGTGACGAGATCTCCATGCACATGATGGCTGGGTGAAAAAATTTTAAATGGCTGTCAGAAATTGCAGTCTGGATTTTTTTTTAAAAAATTTGAACCCATACTTTGAAATGCTAAAGATTTCCCATTGTCAAAGGTTACCATTGGCTAGAAAGATTTTTTTTGAGACTCTATCTTAAAAACAGTGTTTAAAACCAAAGCTTTTTACAGGATGGTGCTGGCAGTTTGTGTGAATTTAAGGGGCAAGTCTCTCGAGGCTGGGGTGGCGCTGGATTAGATGAAGTCATGCCCAGGCCAGTGCAGCCAGAAGGATGGTCCTGGTAAGTCAAGAAAGGAATGAATATGAAATGGGAGGGGAGATACTGGTGAGTCATTGCTAATCTTAAATCTGCTTTCTCACCTTGCCAGAAAAAAAAAAAGCAGAGTAGAAGCAGCACAAAATTTTATCCGAAGAAATATTAAAAAATAATCTTCTCCTAAATGACATGAACTAATTAAAATTAACATAGTGGTTCTTTTTTTTCAACACAAGAAACAAAATTACTTAGAGGCTTCTTTTCTGAGCGTCACTTTGGAACACGTTCTCACCTTGGGGCTTGTGTGGGTTCTCCACAGCTTTCACTCAGGGGTCCGTGGTGTCGGGGGCTGCTGCGGGGCCGGGGGCTGGAGGCATCAGCGACCCTCGGTGAGCTCAGGAGCAGTTTTGCAAACGGGCACATCGCTGCACAGTGGTCACTCCCTACGAACACCGTGCTACATCAGCTTCCAGGGTGGCCAGTTACAATGAAAAAATGGCACTACCACAATTTTAAGATGACAGTGCTATGGCAAACCAGTCGTCACATGCTTGAGTTACTAGCACAAGCAGTAGATTTAGAGTATTATGAAAATATATGCATTCTGAAGTGCTGTGAATTATACCAAATAATTCTGAATATCTCTTTTGCTATACTAATGAATCAAAGCAGAGCTTACTACATTATCTGCAATCACCATGGAGAAAATGGATTTCAGTGTACATAGTTTCTGTATAAATAGTGCATCCCCAGCACATTCTTTAATTAAGTAGTGTCTGATTGCATAATAATAACAATAATAAAGAGAGAGATGTCCAGGTTGCACACAGGCCAATTACAGTATCAAGTGCATGAGGGTAAAGCACTCCTGACTGGGGAGAATTCAGCAGGGAGGTGCTGGGCTTACCAGTGTGCTCACCTCCGTGCCTTTGCCTCCCACCAGTGAACCATGGACTCTGGAGACATTTTTCCCTGAATCCTGGCATGGAAATGGCTCGTGGGGGACGGCACAGTCTCCACCATTTCACAGGCTCCTGGCAGAAACCAAGGAAGTCGTGACTGCGGCACAGAGGCCCAACTTAACGGTCTGGGTGAAGCTTCAGCACTGGAGTGATTTGCATCGTGCCTCGCAGAGCTGCCAGGTAGGATTGTCAGTGGCTGGAGGGGCCAGACCCCACCTCCACCACGGGCCATAGGTATCGCTGAGAAGTCAGGGAAAGCAGTAAGCTGGAGGAATGTACTTTATGGGGTGGCTGGATCATATGTTTATGGCCTGAAATAGGAGATCCCAACCCGAACCACTTTGTTGGTTTCTAATGGTGAGAGGCAGAATATGAAGATCATATAATTCATGCTGGGGAGTGGATATGAAAAGAGAATGTGGGCAGAACCTGGGACAACCCACAGACTCAATAGCAGTCTCGCCACTAATTATGGCTAATGGCCTAATACCAGTAATAAACACCTTCAAATTCAATACATTCCACGTTCAGTCTGTAGAAACTCCCTTTACAGAGATGGCCCAGAAGAACAAAATGGTTTGAAAACTAGGATGCTAGAGTTATGCGTTGCTAACAACATTGGCATAAAAGCAGTAGAGGAGCGGGTGCTCTGGATCCCCGGAGACAAGAATTTACCACCCAGAAGGAACTTCTGGCAGTTGAATAAATTAATAAAATACGTTTTGTACCCTCTGCACAGGAGAAGTGGGTGGTCAAGACAGTACCGGTACGGCTGGAAGGACTCTTGCACTTCAGCACCGCGGCGGCAGAGCTGGCCAGGTGGCTGGAAACACAACACCTGTGCTGTGATTTCCTGGGCACATCCCAGCCTAGACACACGCATACTAATGCACTGCTCAGATGGCCTTTTCCAGAGGATAATTGCATGCACTGCCCTGAGAGCTGGGAATGGGCCACTTCAGGGAATGAGCCTGCTCCTCAAGATACAGCCACTTATTCTCTCCTCAGCACTGCAGAAGGGCAAATGTCCCTGGTTCAGGCCTTGGAAATAATGAGGTAAAATGGACTCGGCACCATTAAAACCTCCCCAAAGACAGGACTAGATATTAGAATATCTGATTGGGAAAAAAACGACGGGCAAACACAGCCTGCCTGGACAGGACCCCTCCTCTCAAAGAGCCATGGTAAAAGCTCCCCGGTCACAGAAGGGGAGCTGGGAATTAAACATGAAGTAGTCTGCAGAGATGCCAGGAAAAAAACCAAATAAACCAAAACGCAACTGTAGACACTGACCACAATGAAAAAGAAGGTTCTGCAGGATGTTTGCGATGCTGTAGTCATAGCCCAGGGTTTTCCTTGTTCTCCCAACAAAACCAGGTGAACGGTAGAAGGACAACTTGTTATCCCCATTAAAAAGGGGAAAGGAACTGGCAGACATATGCTTGGTGAGCATGGACTGTCCTAAGATCAAACCCAATCTGCTTTCAGCTGAAAGAAGTTCACTTTTATTATATATTAACTTGCTGTGCTAGTGGGGGTCATAACTATCAGCCTCGTGGCTTGACCATGTGCCACAGAGATAGCCAGGTTCAGGGCAGTTTTCTCCCCAAATACTTTCTGAATTCATCTCTTTCAAATAGGATTTATGTATATTTAAGCATCTAACAAAACACACGGTTCAAAACATCAGGGTTGATTCCTCATGACAATGTTGAGGCCTCATTCGTGTGGTTGGAATGGAGCACGTGCTGGAGGCCTCTGCTGAGGGAAGGCCTTTGCATTGCCGGGTTTCCAGAAGCGCTGAGCTCCCGGGCGCTGCTGGGTAAACAGACAGCACTTTGTTTTGGAAGCTCAAATATAGACTGGGGCCCAAATTTAGATAATCAAAATTATATCCTCTCTACAAAGACCTTGCAAAACGCAAGTTATCACCGTGACACCAATAGTTGCCTTTTATATTTTACCCTAACTTTACTGAATCTAGACTAAAAAGTTTCTCAGTACCTTTGCCACTAATTAGAGAAAAAAATGTCATGACCCTATTATAAGGAAAATTACAGGGGATGTAGCTCCCATGCCCTGGATACACTTACATTTAACTTGGTTCGCTTCCAAAGGCCATGATCCAACAAGATATTCAAACACCTGTATAACTTAAAAACACTGAAGCAGGGAAAAATAAATTCTGTTAAAACGTCGCTTTATTTCTTGTAAATCTGATTTTGTGAGATTCTTGAATGCAATGCATCACTGAAAAATATTTCCTTCCTTATGCAGAATATTTTAATATTAAGCCAGATATTTTTATATTTCCACAAATTAAATGCACCATGGATGAAGGTTTGACAGAAGCTTTAATTTGCACATAAAAAGGTAGAACGATTTCAGTTTTGACAGCGTAAGCTTTTGATTTGTTAATAAAGGCAACTCTTTCTCAATTGTGAACATATTCCCCAAATAAGACAATACAGTTTGTAACAAAAAAACACCTTCCTGGCATGGAGAATAAACTTTTGATCCAAAGTTATTAAAGAAATTCGGGTTCTATAAAAATAAAAGAACGAAACTTTTACATTCAAGCTTTAGTAGTAACAGAACAAGAATCAGAGGAAGATAGGTGTTCCTGCCACATTCTCTATACCTATTGTTACCAATGTAACCTACCTTTAATACATTTGGATGAAGTTCATTTCCAGAAGGTACCTGCAAGAAGTTGAAGTCATTTTGGGGGTTGAGGATGAGAAAGCTGTGTTTCTGGGAATGGTTTCGGCTAAAATTAACAGAGATTTTCCTTTTGATGTTCTAATCAAACTGCAATCTAAGAAAACTAAGATTTCAGACTCTCGTGATGAAATGCAAACGCTACAAAGTTTGTAAACCAAGATAGACCCACGGGAACCAGAGGCCAAGCTTTCAGATTAACCTCTTTTGTGCTCATGTTCTCCTTTTCCCCTAAAAGACCACAGAGGAGGAAAGAGTGTGGAGCAGCTTCAGCAGAGCCAGCTTAAGCATGGAAAAAAAAATAAATTTGGATTTCTGATCTCAGATCAAAGAAATTATTCCAAAAGCTGTGGCATGGAAGGAAAGCTGCAAGTACCCAGGATCCGTTTCAGTATATAAAAGGGTAAAGAAGCACCCGCCAAGTTCTCAGCTCTTACAGTCTCAGTAAGTACTTCACACCCTGGCATCAAAAGTTGAACTAAAGCTTCTCAACGAGCTGAGCAACGCGTCCAAGCAGTGTGAGGTACAGAACAGCCAGTGCTGTCATTACGAGCCCACCCCTTTACCTCCGAGGGCAGACGCCAATGCAGGTGCCAGCCGGAGGGGCTGCCGGGGGTGCCCGGGCCCAGCTCTGAGCAAACGGCGCCCCAACGCCTGGTGCAGGAGGCACCTCCTCTCCTCTGCTCCACTAGACAACGCCTCCTGCACACCTGCAGCCCTGGCACGGAGCTGCTGACTGTCTGTGTCACCCAAGAGAGCGGTTACTTACCGATGATTGGCAGCAGCATATCCTGCTATAATGCTAACTAAGCCCGTGACACAGCCTGCTATCAATATTTTACTCTATCGCACGTGGCATTTTGCAGTGACACTAGATGCCGTGCTCTGAGGCTTACTGGTTCTCAGTCCTTCCATTTAATAACAAAGTCTCTTGATTTTTTCAAACTTCTAAGCTTTTGCTGAGGAAGTCAAGCAGTTCATTACTGAAAGATGTTTTTGTTTTCCAAACAGTATCCCCTCATGCTTTTCTTTGCTTGCATCTCACCACAGTTGCCTCCTAATCCAGTGTTGGTGAAACAAGGCTGAAGGTATTTTGATCATGTTTTCACACTTCTGATGTACAGTTGCCTTGTCTCCTTCCACTTTCCTTCTGACTACACTCTGCTTCACAAATGCAGCCATCTGGCACAACATCTCATTTTTTTGTATCGACACCTGAGTAATCAGAGCCCTTTTTTCTTTTTTTTTTTTAAATAAAGCAACTGTTTCCAGCTGCGATGCATAGCCTTATAATAGGCAAGCCACATCCCATTAAAGAAAAGCAGGAGAAGGGAGAGGTCACTGGTATTAATGTTAGAAAACATTTAGGGTGAGATGAGAAAAAAGAAAAAGCATCCAGCATTTTCATTGAGATTATTACAAGTCATTTCCAGCGCTTTATTTTTCTTCTTTCTACTTACAGCCTCAGGAACAGTTATTTTAAAACTTAACCTTCTTGAAGTTTGCGCAGTGAAGACGCCAGGCTGAGTCGCCCCGGCAGAAGGACCAATGGGGCACCAGGGACAGCACATGGGACACAGGAGCATCACACGCCGGGACAAACCCAGCTCGGTGTGGTAGGAGCAGCATTTAAAAAGCACTTATTTCATCTCTGGATCCTATTGTTGACAATGAAAATAATTTGTGTCACGGACAGTTTAGTGGTGTGGCCACCTCTGGGAGTGGGAATGAACTGATATTTTAATTCTCTCTCTGTACAACAATCAGCTGCAATTCCACTAACTCCAGTGGGTTCATGCTGGGAAGGGATTTCCCCTTCACAGGGTTCATTGCATTGGTCGCGTCTGAACACAGTTCTTTAAGATCACAATTCACAATACTATAATGTCAAACATCAATCAAGCCCTGCCTTTTTTCTTTTTTTTTTTTTTTTTTTGAAAATGAAGTCTTTCCATATATTGTGTGTATGAAATACATTATAAAAACACTGATGGCAAAGTTGTGGCTCCAAAAATTCAGAGTCGTCTTACCTCACACTGCTGTATGGCCAAAATTGCATCCCAAGAGCTTTTTTCCTGGCCTTGTCTCAAAGGACATCTTTCAGCCTTACTCTCTCTTGCTAACACTCACCTTTCCCATGCTAGAAATAAATTTGACAGCGCTAAGTTGATCTCCACCTGGCTGCCATCTCCTCCACACATTTGATCCTACCCCTGAACTCTATCCCTCTTGAAATAAAAGATGGCCACCACCCCGCAGACCAAGTGACCTGGAAATACTGCACAGAGATATATGAGCAATGGAGCAACCGTGCCAAAGGAAACTCACAAATCACACACTCCGGGCAATGGGACAACTGGCAGAAAGACAAAATAAAACGACTGCCTCTCTACCTTTCACAGCCTCCCTCAGCCGACACCACTACAGTCTGTTGCTGAAGCATATCTGCAGCAGCTAAACCTGCTCTTTCCCTAACGAACCTCTCGCTGCAGTCCTTCAAAGCAGGAGGGATTGGGGCAGCCAAGGTTGAGATGGTGCTGCGAGCCAGGAGAACCATTCCCTACCAGCTCAACAAATACTCAAGGACAGAGGGGCAGAAGCCGACATGGGGAATAAGGGACAGAATCAAAGCGGCCACCCTGCGTGCACCCTACCTGGCCAGTCCCTTCCGGCAGTGTGGCATGTTCAGAGAGGAGGCAATCACTGCAGCACCTGAAATAAAGACACAAATCCTCAGGCACAACAGCTGATGCCCCATCATTCAAATTGTCACAAACCACAGATGTCAACAGTATGATTTTTGCTGTCAATATCAATTTGGAAAGTGCCATTGATAATGTGCCAGTACAGATCAATAACATTTGATTCTACAGACAGAACCTGCATTGAAATCCCTGCTTTTTCCTCCATTTGTTTTAAGCAGACTTTTCCAATAGACTCTATCTCTAGGTGGGGGCCAGGCGAGCACACCGGGCATCTGTGCCACCTCGGCTCAGTGTCTCTTTGCTTTGGTGGGTTAGCAAAGAAGATCTTGTGATGCTACGAGCCTCACTATGTGCGAGGTCAGCAGGGGCCACAGCCAAGTTTTTGGGTGGATTTGCATCTCACAGAGATGCCAAAGGGGAGGGAAGAAGTTTGACCTAAGAAGCTCAGTCTAGACCCCATCAGGATCTAAATGCAGACTCAGAATCAAGCTAGGACAATCTGGACTTGGTTTTGTGAGAAATACCCGTCTTTCAAGATGCAGCCACCTGGAAGATTTCCTTCTTCACTTTCAACCTGAAAAGAGAGGTGGAGCAGTTCATGGCGGGAGAGAAAGGCCATGAAAATTACAAGCTGTGTAAAAAGTTTCTTTGCAAATAACAGTTTAACACCACTAAGAAGTTAGGTTAAAATGGTTTCAAAGTCTAAAATTAGTTACATTTTAAACTAACAGCATATGCTTCTATTGTCTCTGATCTAAAATATAATCCCAGGAGGCTGTGAAAAGCATGCAAATTACGGAAAGCTAATTTGCTCCAACAGCGACACCTCCCATGTAGTTGGGAGGTCTATTAGACCTAGTGTACTCTCCATTATTTGCATATTAATAGCACCTGCTGAAATACTTTGGGATTTACTTCTCCTGCCAGCAGAGGGACAAAACAAACAAAAAAATTATATAAAATTCCTTTCATACAGATTTGATGAATAATAAACTCTTTAGACAGTTCTAAGAATGCCTAATTAGCGGGAGGCAATGGGGCAGGATTGCGGACAGATGCCATCTATGATTTTCAGAGAAACTGGACTGCAAGTTCACTTTGGAAAAAAATAAAAATAAATCCCAAACCAAAAAACCAAACAACAAAAAAGCCCTCTCTGGAAAGTGCTGGGTAATTTGAAATCACTCACTTGGCTCAAGTCTGAAGAATGGAAAAGTTTAACTAAAGAAATCCAGACACTGCAGCAAGAAAAAGAAAAGAAAAACACAACAAAAAAACCCCTATACATCCACAACCACCAAAAGCAGAACCCCCCAAAGTGGACCTTGATTAAAAATCTACAAAACCCCAGGCTTTGATATTAGCCAGGCCTGCGAGGCCTAGTCCCCTGCACATAAAACAAAAAATAAATTAAAACCAGCTACAGCCTGAGATTTACTTAACAAGCCAACTTCCAATCTCTGCTTATGACCACTGCTTCCCCTTCTGGCCCCCTAACTATAAAAAAAGCCCCTTGTATATTCCTATAGCTCATCTTCTTCAGGGTAAGGGTGAAAGCAGCTTCCTTTCCACGGTAGCAAATGGAAAAAGCTCACTTTTCAGTGCGAAGCTGAGCCAGAACCCTCAGTCTGGATGGGTAACACGTGCCTCTCCCTGCAGCCTGGATTGGGGAAGCTGACCAGGGAGGCCGGGGCATTCCCCAGTACCTCTTTTTCCAAACAGGCAATTGGTATTCCTAAAGAAGCCCCAGCCATGTACTCATATTCTCTTCAAGAGTTACAAGGGGCCCATATTTCTCCCCGCTTTTTAAACCCACCGCTTTAATTCTGATTATGCACCCTTTTTTAAATAGGCACTGAAAGGCCCACTAGAGTTATTTACTGCTGGTGTGCTGAATTTCTGTAGCATTTTAACTACCTTCACATTCCCAACTGAAGAAGGCAATTGACTTTAAGTTAAAATGACTAAATTGTTCTCCACATATTAAAAAAAAAGTAGTGAAAGAGCGTTTCATGTAGGACAATGAAGCGCAGCAAAGTGATGTTTTGAGCAGCCCTGCCAGTGCTCTGCTGGGAGGGGGAATCGAGTCTGTCCTGAGCAAGGGCAGCCTCCAGCCCCGTCCCAGGGAGCCCACCTGGCCACCCTCCTGACCTGTTCTCCTCGTGGTGTGTCACTCCCGTGTGAGAGGGGTGGAGAGAAGAAGGGACTGTTGGTGGGCAATGTATTACTACTGGCCTCTTCCTTCTCCACTACAGACACTCAATACTTCTCCCCGCTCTGCACCAGCCAAAGGAGACCTATGAAAAACTTGCTCAGTGTCAATTACAATTGCTGAAGGAGGCAATCAAACATTACAGCAATGGGGACCCCTGAAATGCTACAGACAGGCAACTCCCACCATGGCTGTCAACAAATGCTAATTCTCATTAATGTGCATCTAACTCTTAAATGCTGCAACAGTGGTAGCTATTAGTATTAGCTGGTAGCTAATTAGTAATAAGTAGCAGAACTAGTTAAAGTTGCAGGATGGCAAGCAGATGCAGATTGGAGGACTCAGCTCTGAGCTTATGATCACTGTTGGTGATAATTTTCAGCATATTTTTGCATATTCAAGGACCTCTAAATAGCTGGCAGGGAAAGGGGTTACCAGAATGGTTCCTGGGAGGCTTCTCTGGTTCAGGGCATGGAGAAGCAAAGCTATCTCTTTGTGTTTAAGACATAGCTCAAAACTGTTAAGGTCTGAGCATTGCTACCATTCAGATTGATTCAGTGCCCTAAAAAATGGGTTTGCGTCCCATTTCTAGAAGAGGGAAGGATCCACCTCCTCTAACTTTTCTGTGTCTGGCAATGAGTTACCTGCTGTGTGCTGATGGCAGGGGCTGCGCCTCAGGGATGGCGAGAGCAGGCATGGTGCCTTGGTCAGGGAAATGTCTCCACCAACATGGAAAAAGCCCTGCCCCAGCAAGCAGGACTTGGTAACCCGAAGTGTCTGCCTCAGCACAGCCTCTGCTGCTGGCAGGCTGAGTTTCAGAGAGGTGAAGGCAGGAAGAAGCGTTCAGAGGGACCTGTCCCCTTAGAGTCAGGAGATCACCCTGCTCTGGGGCACAGCACGGCAGGGGGACGGGGGCTGGAAACTCCCCGGCCTGCCCCGTAGCTCTGCCCCAGCCCTTCTGTAAAGGGTTTGTTCTTCCAAACATGAAGAGCCGTGTATTTGTAATGACAGCAATAAAAATGATCATAAAAAAACCCACCCCGAAAAAGCAAACCCCAGCCATTACCTATTATAACAAATTGAATTGGATGTTCCTTACCTGAAATTTCATGAGCAATTAGCAACCAGAATTATCCACAAATGCATGTGTGCCCTATTATCCTTGTAGTGATTTCAGCAGCCACGCCATCAGCAGCTCACAGTCTGCTACAGGCAGCTCCAGCAGCCTCCAAACCACAGCCTTCTCTTCTTTCTTTTTTTTAACAAGAAGTTCATGGCAGCCAGTGTTTTACCACCTGCACAGTGAAGGAGAAAAAAAACAAGGGGGAGAGGATCAATATGTACAGTATGTTTATATTCAGCAAGAGCATGTTGCAGAGTGGGGAGCTGTGATGTGTGTTTGCGTTGTCCGTGAAAGGATCTGTGGTGGCACTGCAGCTGGAAAAATAATGGAAGATCAGGGGACTGTCTTCAGTGACAAAGTTTCATCTGGTAAGTTACAATTATATTGTAGGAAATGGTAACTTAGGCCGCAACTGATTTGTGAATCCCAGGAAATGCAGATCACTGATTCTTCAACAGGGCTGCAGAACCTTATCTATAAAAATTTGGGCCTCAGCAGGAGGTTGTGTGTAAGTGTGATTTGCATTTGAATTCTTAGTCCACCACAACCTTTAAATCTTCCTGCAGCACTATCACAATGGAAATTTTTGTTCTCAGTGTGCTCAAAACACATATTAAAAAATAAAAAATCCTGGTACAATGGAAGTCAGTTGTTAATGGGAAAGAACGTGGCATTTAAGCTCAAATTGTTTCACAAAACACCATTACATCAGTGTCTTTCATCATTTTATGGGGGATCGAGTCCCCTGACACCATCTTCAGGGACTGCATGTGGTGCTTGTCACTATCATTCCACTTGCACAAACACCGCAGCTCTTTCAATTTTTATCTGCCCAGAAGTTGGAATATGTTACATTATTTAGGTTTTGTAAGAAGCTTTTCTGTATGAAGAATTCACAACAAATAAAAGCCATTTCCCTGAAAAAAAAAAAAAAAGAGCCGGTAAGTGACAGTTAAGGGAATTTTGGGCGGGCCCAAAATGACAGGAGATGGCAGCAGCTCTGCTGTCCTTCCTGCTGAGGGATGGCACAGGTCCCACCAATCCTACATAGAGCAGCCACCAGCACCGGCAACGATGGCGTGATGCTCACATATTTCCCCAAAAAACTTCATGAGTCAGACTATGAATCCCGTATTCATGCTGGAGAGGAGTTACTCATGTAACAGGAGGGCTCCCCAGTGCTGCCACTGGATCAGGGAGACAAGTTTGCAGAGAGAGGTACAAAAAATCTACTCCTAAGTCTTTTAGCCAAGGAAATGTTCCACGTCAAATGCTCACAGACTCTTAACCCAGTGTCAACAAAGACAGGTCTTCATGCCCTTCCTGTGTGTTTGTGAAGCCAACTCAGCCAAACTCTTTGAGAGGCAGCCAGGGCGCAGAGCCATCCACGGGCCATAGAAGATGATTATTAATGTTCTGGCAGAGCTCAGGTGCCTCTCTTTGCTGCATATGGAGCCAGCTTTTGTCCTAAAGAGCTACATAAGACCATTAATTCAAATTTACATTTATTTTGGCAATTTGATATCTGTTTTCCTATGTGTAAAATTTTATTGCCACTTACTCAGATATGGCTAAACTCAGCAACCCCTTCCAGGGACACGTTCTCCAGCTGATTGAATTTCCAGGCTCCAAACCTCAAAGCCCAAGTAAAGGGTGCAGGAGATTGTCTACTAGCAATAGGAGAACATCAAACGCATATCCCAAACACGCTTCCAAGTTTCTTTCTGCTTTTGCTGTTACTGAAGTTGATAGGAGCTTTCTATTGACTTCAGCAGACATAGATTTAATGAAGGACATTTTTTCTACCCATCTCATAAAGGCACTTTCCTTCCCTCGCTCTAACTTGCCATGTTGGGACCCAGCAGTTAGTTTTATTGCGTAGTGATACACGCTGGCATTTGCAAGATTGCAGCACCTTCACTGAGAACTTTCATACAAGCTGCTCCCCTGTGACAAATGTAAAGCAAATCTCCGCACCGAAGGTTATGGCTCTTCTTGAAATGCACCCACTGAAGTGTGTTGTTCCATAAGGCAGAGGCCAAGCTTTGGAGGAGTCACTCCCATATCTGAGTCCCTGTATTCAGAGATATTTATGGGGGGCTGATTCTACAGTACAATAAGACACTGACTCTCTCTGAGGTTTCTGATCTGGGACATCCCGAACAATCACATTTCAAAATGTTCCCTTTCACTCCACCGAGCGTCTGGGAGCTCAATCAGAATATTTCAGACTGAAAACAGGTCTGGTCCTGAACTTCCTACTAAAAATAAATAAATAAAAATCCTCATACAAAATGCAGAATAAATAATTTTCCTTTCTTTAATGACACTTCCTTGTTAATAGCAGAGAAAGCAGTCACAAATACAGATCTTACCAACTGCTCTTCAGCTTAACATCTCTGGCATTCAAAACATACAACTTCTGTGTTTGTACTACATTTCCCTAACAGCTTACATCGAGGCCAAACAGACAGCATTCTGCAAAGGTCTTCTAAAATAAGCTTATTTAAAAGAGCAAGGTCAATGCCCAACATATGTCAGATTCTGTGAGTAGAAATCAAAGAGTTAGGAGCAAATGGAGTATGTCAGAACTCAGTGGTTTTCCATGCCAGGGTCTTTTACCAAGTTCGCAATTCTGCTGCCAAAAACAGTAACAATCCCATCATATGGACTTCAGCTTTGGAAAAGTGTCTAAAAAACCCCCCAGTGTCTGTACACAGGCTACTTAGCTCAATAAATAAAACTAATGCATAGATAAATATGTTTATCTGGACATGCTATTTATTGTCTCTACAACTGTATTTTTCTTTTAATGGGACACATGCTGATTCCATGCTTCAGCCCTAGGCTCTATTAAAATCAGATTAAAAGCATTAGTAATGTAGTTAATTCCATTTATAATATGCCCATCGAGAGAAAAAAGAACATTAAAATAGAAAAATATATATAAATGGGATTTAAGAAATTTTCGGAAACCATTCTGCTCCATTTTGATCTTTGCAAAAAAAGGCATTTTTTTAAAATAGAAAACTTTTTGCTCTGTTCAGATAAAGTAACTCTGCCTGGTCTTTTAAAACATATCTTGCAGAATTATATTTGCGATTTCAATTAAAATATGCTATTGTCACTTTAGCCTCCCTCTTTGGTATTTCAAAATGATCCTAATGGCTTTGCCTTAAGTGATTTGCGTCCCATGGTGAATCCCTGTCACTTACAGCACCTCCCACTATTGCCCTCCTGAATAATCACTACCAGATAATCACTTCTTCCCCCTTCTCCCCACACTACCGCTCGCTTCCCCTCCGACTCTGCACGCTGGTACAGTCTGCAAAGTATTTGCTCTTTAACAAACATCTGGCTTGTTGCTCTGGCACACAACAGTTGGGGATTTAAAAGAAGGGTAAAAGCTGCATGAAAAAGGCCAAACTGATGGTTCTCCAGGCCTGTTCCCCAGGCTGCAAACCGGAGAGCGAGGGAAGGAAGAGCAAGAGAGAAAGAGTGGGTTGTGATCAAATCCCTCCAAACCATACTCACTGTTTAGGGCCTGGCAGGTGCTTATGCAGCCCAGGTCCACTTGCTGCTTTCTGCTTTCCAACACAGGATGGAGACCGTCTGAAGTGAACCTGTTTAGGAACACAAAATTTCCATTGGAGACTTTCCACTGAAAAGATGCCATCAGCAGAGCCCCTAAAAGGCTTTGGTTGAAAGGGAACACCAGAGCTGCCCTCTGCCCCCCGTCCCGTCCCTCCGCCCTGCAGCCCTCACACACCCTGAGGATGCACGGGGAACCACGGGCTTTCTCCTTCTGAGAGGAGGAACCTTTCTCCTTTGCCTTTCATGGATCTCATTATTAATTGAAGAATATTTTAGTTTGCATAATTGTCTTCTGCCTTTCATAATTCCAACCTTTCTCTTTAAATGGGCTTATTAAGCTAAATACGGTCTTTTGTTTTTGTGACTCCATCTATCAAAGCTTCTAGATGGACAGTCAATGTGATGTGAAGAAAAAAACCCAAACCAATAATATTAGGAAGCATCTCTAATGTACATTTATGAGCTCTACCACCAGGTGACTCCATTCTAAAATATCCGTATTTTCATAAAACAACAGGCTATTTCTTCCCTACACACTGAACATCATCCTAACACCCCTCTCCATAGTATTTAGCACTGAAGAAAATAGCATTAAATAAATAGCACTCTTACTTAAGATATGAACTATTTCTTTTTGAATATCACATGACATTGTATTTAAGAGACTCAGGGATTTCCAGAACAGCCTGATCTGTTCCTGTCTAATCAGACCTGATTAATTCAAATCAAACTGCAAACCTCAGTTTTATTTTGCTTTAAATACTCAAGATCAACAACAAATCAGCAGTTGCAGATATCACAGAGGCAGCTCACACAGAAAGCCTACAGACAGAGAGTCTCACAGAGTCAAACGGATATGATTAAACGTTTGGAATCATTTATTAATATTTTATATATTCAAATATATACAGAGCAGATAGGACCAGTTAGAGGGATGCTCTTCACAGGGGACTTTATTATATTTATGCCTAAGAACAGGATATCCATCTCGGGTGTCAAAGGGTGTTTCTTCAAAACAGAAAAAAATTATTAACAAATAATAGGGTTATGTGGGAGGGTTTGTAACACAGAGCTGCACTAAACCATGCAATGATCTACACAGATAATCAAAGTGTTCGTGTGATACCAAGCACAGCAGAATAAATAAAATGAGATAAAATAAAATAAAACAATCTCACAAATGCAAGACTGCAAATGCAAAATAGGTAGCCCCGCAAGAAGTATTTCAGAGATGTACTGACCGGTTATTTCTGTGGAAGGCGTGCTCTGGCGGGCTCTCAGACCTGACCAGTTTAATCCACATCAGACCAGGCAGACACAGGGTCAGGAGGCTGAATGTGGATTTGGGCAGTTGGCACAGCTGTTTTCCTTAGGTGCAATACACTTGTCACTAGTGGTGGCACTTTGCATTTGCTGTATGGCAGCATATGTGCTTGCCACATTTGGGACCCATTATATCTCTTTACCCTCCAGCCACTTCCCTTCCCCTCTTGTTAGCTGCACGTCCATACAGCCTTCCACACTCCTGCGCTACATTGCAATGCCAGCTCTGCCCTCTCTGCTTGCTCTGCTGACTAGACATACTGCCTGTGCTCTTTACGAGCTTCCCAGATTACAACTACCTGTAGATGGGGCAGAATTTTTACATATATGACCGAATTTTTAGAGATATATATATATGTGTGCGCACATATATATATACTCGCATAGATACAAGAAATCGTATCTATTCCATCACTGAAACACTTCCCTGTTCAGAAATGGTTTTGCTACCAGGGAGAACACACACAGCCAGAGAAAAGTTGAAGAATAGCCAAGAAAATCTTTCAAAGCACAGTGTAAACCCAAACTAGAAGCTAAGGTGAAAAAAGGGAGGGGATGGACTATACATTCACATTTCACCCTCTGCCATTAAAACTATAGCAACTGCAACAGCACAGACCAATTAGTACACGTTGATATACTGGCTTGCAGATAAAACAGTTTCTAATTGCATGTCCAAAAGAGGTAGTTAAATGTTTCCGCTTGCTGTGTGCACACAGTTGCACAGAGAGGACTGACTGCAGGACTCATTTTTGCTCAGTGTTGGGTCATTGCATACGACAGCAACAGTTAAGAAGGAATTTGGTTGATGTCTCATTTTGAGGGGCTGTACTGCCAGCCTCCTGACTCCAAATATACAATGTTTCCTGCCAGGATGCTGGGACACTAGTTCAGAAGAAAAAGTCTCTGGTCTGGAGAGATGAGCCTGCCCAGGCAAGCTCCCAGCCCAGCAGTGCCCAAGCCCAGCAGAGGCTTCTCTCGGGCTCCCTGGAGGTGTGGGTGTGCAGACAATAAAGGAACACCAGCTTCTGACAAAAGAGCTTTGCACTTTTAAAGAACATTAAAAACGTAGCAGCCTCAGATTTGCATTTTCACAAATGTAACTGTGTCCTTGATAACCAGTATTCAGATAAGGCCAGATCTCGTTCTCATTCCCCTCCAAACCAGAGCAACCCAGGGTTTGAGAACTTCACAGCTGGATACACAGATGTGAGCCTGTCCGTTGGAGAGCCCCCCTGGCAATGCAGATCCATATTCAGCTTTTTCTTTCAACAAATAAAAGCAAGTTTAAAATCAAAATGTCAGTTCATAATAAACCTCCAACCTCCCAACTCTAATTAAATAGGATTTAAAAAAAAAAAAAAAAAAAAAGCTCAGCTTTGGTCTGCTTCTGTTTTCATTAAATTTCTCTTAAGTATTTTGTAAAATCTCATCCCAAGGAAGCAATCACTAAAACCCACTGGGGTTATTTTTACACAATGGTGAGGACACCGAATTACCTTCCTGATGTAGCTCCTGTCTAGGTAAGCAACACAGCCAAAGCTCGATCTGCATGTCCTATATGCCAGGCCTGCTGGTTTTAAATGCTACTCAAAGGCAGGAGTTGGGAAAATGCTGTTAGAGCCATGGCCTCCGTGGGCTGTCATCTCAGGGAGCGCCGTTTCTCTCGGCAGCTGCTCTCAGCAGCCACTTCCTTTACCTGACAATTGCCTCATTCAGCAATTCAGCAACAGGTCAGGCCAGCAAAATCCCTCGCTCACTTTCAGACTCCCTAAGTATCAGCGACGGAGTGCGAACGGCCTCTGGCTGTCTCTGCAGCCCCCATTTACCTTAATGAACAGCATCACATAAAAAATTGCTGCTGACAACTTACGCTTTCGTAGGTCATGATGCTTTTGGACATGTCCCCCCATTCTCCCACCCTCCCTTATACACACACAGGGAGAAGGCCAAAAGAAGAGGGAAATATTGGTCTTCTCTTTGAAGCGACCATTTGCGACTCAGCACGGGACATCAGTTTGCTTGCTTTTGGATGCACAGTTTTGGGGCAGTTGACTGGACAGAGAGAGACCATCTGCAGATCAACAAGAGACAGGTTTCTCATTGGTACCTGTTGCTGCAGAGGGGAAGGTCACCCTACCTTCTAACACAAGGGACATGAAGGAAAATTCACAGCTGGAGCAGGAGAGGTGAGAGACTGGAAAATGCCTGGCCGTTTTAATGTAAATAGTTACAATATGCACGTACATTTCATGCCATCTCACTGCTCTTACGAATGTCAGGAATGTTAAGTAGGTAGGAGGCCCCTCTAAGCACTGAGGTGTCCATAGCTTACAGCAACAATCCCAAAGTACAGCCCGTGGGCCTGAGAAGCTTTTGTAAGCAACATGTGATGGCCTTTTTAATTGTGACCACCCTTGACAGAGCAGCATCAGCATTGCAGAGGTGACAAGGTACCTGCCGGTCCCACCCAAAGGTGGAGTTAGGTGAGGATGCTGAGAGCACCTCTCTGTGCTCTGCACATCTTCTGAACAGAAAAGTTCTGCATTTCAGGTGGATTTTGTTCAGTAGCACCCCCATCCATGTCATTAAGTAGCCTTGCAGGGACAAAACTTTGAAAACTCCTTGCTGAGGAGCCTGGCACTAAAGTTACAACCTGTGATCTGGGGCGAGGTTTTATCAGCCATCAAGATCAGAAAGGAAAAGGCACTCGTACTACATGAATGGCCAACTCAACTGCTCGGAGAAAGGTTGATTCAGGCTGCCAATATTGGCTCTTACACAGATAATAAACTGGCCTTTCTCCTGACATCACACTTCAATCAAAAACTTTCTCGCAAAATGTCACTTTCAAAGTTGCAGCTTTAAAAAAAAAAATGTCTTTATAAAAAATTCATGGCCACAATGATCTGATAATGCAGCTTTCTGATACCAGCAGATGTTTTGTCTAACATGTTCCCTGAAGCTGTACTCTGTGCCTTCATATCTTTCATTTCCAGTTGCTATCTGCTGACTGTGGGATGTCATGTACGTACCCTATAGCGATGCGCAGCAATTCGCATCTAACACCGCCGTGCGTAATGAGCTTCACAAGATGCTTGTCGCAATAACTCCGCACTTCCCCAACCATATGGAACACAACACTCCAAAGCCCACAGACACTTTTTTTTATTACAGTTCAGATCCTTAAAACATAATCTGTGTGATGTCTAGTGAATGTACGTGAAGAGCTGCTGAAAACAAAGTTAACACTTGTTCACATCATCTGTTACAAATGTCCAATTTGGGACAATAAATTTCCTCGGAACCTGTTCTTTTGCTGACTCGTTGCTTTATCTTTTTTCTCTTTCTCTCACGTCGTTTTTTTTATGAACTATGCATATGTATTAAATGGGATTTGTTGTCCCTAGATACCAATTTGCATAAAGTGCAAGCCATCATTGGTTGGAGAGAAGCAAATTACTTCTCCAGCAAGATCACACTTCTTTTTTTTGTCTTTTTCTTTTTTTTTTTTTTTTAATTTTAACAAACCGCAGGCAGAGGCTGTTAACAGCACTTAGCCAGATATGCAAAGTATCACTTTTCTCAAAAGCAGCTTGATCAATGGGCAAAAAAAAAAAAAAAAAAAAGAAGAAAGGAAAGGTATTACTCGGTGAGGTACAATGCAGAAATGACCCAAGACTGAAGCAGCTAACCCAGCCATTCA